GAATCTAGTTTTCCCTGTGCCGAACCTGCACAGACATGAGCAGCCCCGACCTTACAGAACGGAGATGGACTCTTCCTGTTAGTTGGAGGCAGGAAGTCTTCAGGCTCCACACCACATCTGTTTATCTCCTCAGCCCCCTATCCTGTGGAGGATTGTGTGGCTAAATACAGTAAATTGGTGGCTTCAGATGCAAAAATGCCTGTTTATACACTGACACTGAGTTCAGTGCTGCTGTGCTTTCACAGCACAAAACGAGCTAATGTGAAGTTGTGTTTACATACAAAGAGCGAGTGGAGGCTAATACGGCAGCTAAGCACTTCCTATAGTGCTTCAGTCCCTGTTGAAGATCATTTCAACTCAAGATTAAAAGTGCATTGATCTCAAGGACTTAACATCAGTCAGCTAATCTACCTTAAGCGTTCACTAACTGAGACGGGCAGTGTGTGCTATACAAAGAATGGGACATTGGATTAAAGGACTTGCCTTTTTGTTCCCCCATTATCATGGCCCCATTTTGCAGCTTTCCTCGGGGTAACTTCTGAATTAGAGGAAAGATTTAGGAGCCTTGTCTCAGCTTTCATTACTGAGACTCACTGAAGACTGCCAGCAGTGTCTCTGCACTGCTTGATAGAATCAGGGTTTGACCCTGCTATCCTGCTTGGTGGATTAAACAGATGATGAAAAAGACTCAGACATCACCAAAATGATTCCCTGTAGAAATCTTAATTTTGTCACTTGTGCCTTTGATACATCAACACATGATGGGTTCTGTGAGTTTATAGACACTCAGCACCCCAGCCTGTGTAGGAATTGACTCAGACAGCAGAATCCAATCAGACGAAAGCCATTATTGCAGCAACAATGCAATCTTTCTTGTACATTTCAACATCTTTCTCTGAAGCTTTGTGTTAATGTTGTTGTTACACAGCGGAGTCCCTTCAGTCATGGTTGAATTGCTGAATGGGCCTAACGATCCCAGGGGCCTTCCTGACTTTCACTGGCAAAATGTCACTTGAATTCACACATACCGATCAGGAGGAGATTCAAAATGAGCACAACCAGATGCAAAGGAACTGCAAAGAGACACAAAGTAAACACAAAAATAGACAAAACAACAAAACAAAAAAACTACAGAGAGATACAAAACAACGACAAAGAAACAAGAATTGACCTCAAAGGGACACAAAATGACTACAAGGAGAGACAAAATGACTGCAAGGAGACCAAATTGACTTAAAAGAGACACAAAATGACTACCACCACAGGGAGACAAAATATGACCTCAAAGGGACTCAAAATTACTCTAGAGAGACACAAAACAACTACAAGGATACACAAAATGACTACAAAGAGACACAAAACGACCACACGAAGACAAAAAACTGACCACAAAGAGACACAAATCAACCACAAGGATACAAAAAATGACCTCAAAGAGATAAAAAATGACCTGGAAGAGACAAAATGAACACAAAGAGACACAAAACAACCACAAGGAGACACAAAATGATCAAGAAGAGACAAAAAATGACGTGGAAGAGACACAAAATGAACACAGAGACACAAAACAACTACAAGGAGACAAAAAATTACCTCGAAGAGACACAAAATGACTACAAAGAGACACATAACAACCACAAGGATACAAAGAATGACCATAAAGAGATACAAAACAATCACAAGGAGACAAAAAATGTCTGCAAAGAGACAGAAAATAAACTCCAAGAGACACAAAACAACCACAAGGACACAAAAAATGACCTCAAAGAGACAAAAAATGACCTGGAAGAGACAAAATGACCACACAGAGACACAAAACCACAAAAAAAAAGATGCATAACGACTATATAGAGATCAAAAACAACGAAAAAGAGGTTAACACTCTACAAAGTCTGTGTCTTGCTCCTGTGTGGGAGGGGTAGTTGGGCCTTTTGCATATCAGTGCCCAGGGGTCCGCTGTCTCATAATCCACCCATGCCTTCAGTGTATTTTAATTTAACTTCCAAGACATAAGAAAGGTTTGTGCCACAAAAACAACCTGCACATGCTCCCCCCACAAAACAATGCTAAAATTCTAATCTCACAATGTTTGCTCTTACAAAGATAACTGGCAGGGCTTGGAATAAAACAATGTATGAGGTGGCATCATGTGTTCACCCTTCTGAAATGACGAATAGCACAGAAAAAAGGTGTGTCTGGCACTGCAGACAACTTCCTGGCAGTCGAAGTTTATCAGAATGACTAAATAAATAAACAGTGTTTGCTGCGACTGAGTAATCTCTACCACAGTGACTACAGTTACCAGACAGATCCCTTTCTTTTTCTCCATCGAGCATTGCATGCAAGTATAAAGGTAAGTAGTATGTGGTGCTGTGCAGAAACAGTTTTATGTAGGAATATGGTTATTAGAGTGAGTGAGGTTAATCTACACTCTGCCAAGCTGCAGACACAATTACAATTACCTGTAACACTCAGGTGAAGTGCAAATACTGCATAGAGTGAATTCATAGTGTTAATATGTTATGCTTTATACCTTAATTATGCTCTGGTTCATAAGTCTACAAAAAATCACAATTGCCCCTCAGGGATGAATAAAGTTTATTTAATTGAACTGGACTGAAGTGAATAGAAAGCAAAGCCACATAAGGCCATTCTGGTCATGTATTTGTTTGTCCTCAAGTCAAAGTCTGCAGCTCTGACGTATTGTGCCACCCAGCCAGCAGTTCTGGGAAGGGGAAACCAAAGTTTTGCCTAATTGTCATTGCCAGATGTAACAATGTTGAGCTATGCAAGAGGATGAAGAGCTGTAAGGTAACACAGCATAAAGGAAAGTCAATAAAGAATGACATTTGACTTGAGGGGTTTGGGTTGGGAGATTTCCTTAAAATGCTTCTCTTCCTAAGTAAGAGCTGATTCATGGGTGATGTGAATAACTTCTGGTGGTATGGGAGGAGGAGGAGCCTGACTGGACAGAAATCCACTTTAAAAACACTTCAGGAAAATAACCAAAACCATCTGTAAGCCAGTGAGTGTAGATATTGCCTGGATGACCTACTTTCTAATTACAAGTACATTTAAACAAAGTTTTTACATCATCGTGTAGAATACCACCCTGAGACTGCACACGATGCTGTAACATTGTGAAAAATGTGGGCAGTCTGGTGGCGTGAGGTGAAGACATACCAACCCAGTAAATCACTTTCTCCTTTCTATGATATGTACAGTTCACACACACACAAGCAGCTCATCAAATGATTTGTGATCCACTTTGAAAGTCTTGAGATTTCTATGTACAGCCACCAAAAGAAAACTTTATCTGAGCAGAGAGGGGCATGCCACACAGGGGACTGGAGGGTGACACCACAGGACAGGATGGGGTACTGGAGGGAAGGCTCAGACATCATAAATCTGGTACAAGTGTGTTATGTTATGTTATTTCTGTCTAAACAAAAAAGAGTTTAAACTTGACATTTATAAGTAAAAGCACAGCAGTGGTTGTTCTCCAGCTTCCTTGTGCACCCTGGGACAACCACAAAGAGACACAAAATGACCTCAAAGAGACACAAAATGACCACAAAGATACACAGAACAACCACAAGGATACACAAAATGACCTCAAAGAGACACAAGATGACCACAAGGAGACAAAAAATGACCACAAAGAGACACAAGATGACCACAAGGAGACAAAAATGACCACAAAGAGACACAAGATGACCACAAGGAGACAAAAATGACCACAAAGAGACACAAAATGACCTCAAGGAGACAAAAATGACCACAAAGAGATAAAAAAAAATGACCTCAAAGAGACACAAGATGACCACAAGGAGACAAAAAATGACCACAAAGAGACACAAAATGACCACAAGGAGACAAAAAATGACCCCAACGAGACACAGAACAACCACAGAGACACAAAATGACCACAAAGAGACACAAAATGACCACAAGGAGACAAAAAATGACCCCAACGAGACACAGAACAACCACAGAGACACAAAATGACCTCAAAGAGACACAAAATGACCTCAAAGAGACACAAAATGACCACAAAGAGACACAAAATGACCACAAAGAGACACAAAATGATCACAAGGAGACACAAAATGACCTCAAAGAGACACAGAATGACCACAAAGAGACACAAAACAACCATAAGGAGACACAAAATGACCACAAAGAGACACAAAACAACCACAAGGAGACACAAAATGACCTCAAAGAGACACAAAACGACCACAAAGAGACACAAAATGCCCTCAAAGAGACACAAAATGACCGCAAAGAGACACAAAACAACCACGAGACACAAAATGACCTCAAAGAGACACAAAATGACCACAAAGAGACACAAAATTACCTCAAAGAGACACAAAATGACCACAAAGAGACACAATGATTTGTAATCTGGTTTGAGAGTCCTGAGACTTTTATGTAAAGCCAAACAAATAAAAAACTTTGCCAGAGCAGAGAGGGACATGCCACACAGGGAACTGAAGAGGGACATCACAGGACAGGGTCTATTTAGAGGATGGGGGAATGGATGGAAGGCACATATCATAAATCTGACACAAGGGTGTCATGTTGTGTGTTTTTGGTGAAAACAAAAAACAGTTTGAACTTGACATATACCCAACACAGTAAAAGCACAGCAGTGGTTGTCCTCAGCTTCCTCCTGTACCGTGGGACACTAAACAAAACATGTATCAGCAAAAACTACTAATCTAGATATTTATACATACAATGGTACTTTGTACAGACTAGAGCATGCTGGAGGAACATGTAAAACCGCTGAATACATAACCAAACACTCTAATCCGTATAACCCCGTAATGTCTATTTTGGTGATACAGATGCACAGTTGAATTACACACTGCATTGTTGGTCGAAAATTCCAGTTCGTTTTCTGTTTGCTCTGTCTTCACCGGGTTTCCGGTGCGCGTCCTCGCTGTAGAAGGCATGTGACTGCGCGTGCCCGCACAGGCGGGGGGAGGAGTGTCTTTACGGTGCAACATTGTCTCGGCAAGCGACGTCTCTCCAGCGTGGCACTGTCCGTGAAGAAGAGTAGACTAATGGGCCGTTTTTAGCGGAGGAAAGCTGGTTTAATTTGACGAAATATACACAGTGAGAAGTCGTATGCAAGGCGCTTGAGGATCTACGCACTCATATCAGTGATTAATCGCAGGATTTTGGTTCATTTCTCGACGGGCCCGGATACAGCTTGATACCGAGAGAGAGACTCAACTCAGGTCCTTTCGTCCTGACATGGACACAGGAATTGTACCCGAAAAGAAAAGGTAACGGCAATGGTAGCTAATGCTACGCAGTAGGCTATACTGTTGTTTAAGAGCTGACTGAACAAGTTTGGTCTTCGGTTGGGATTTAAGTGCTATTGTCGGTGTGACACTGTGGGCTTTGTTTCAAGGTTAACTGCCAGTTTCGCGTGTTTATTCGACAAAATACGTCCGCGAGCGACGCTATTATCGTTAGCAAGCGGCTAATGTAGCTAGCTAACGTTAGCTGTCATTGAACTGCAGTCATTAACGCTAAACTGTGTAGCTAAACTGTGTAGCTAAACGCTAACTACGTTAGTTGATTTAACTTTGTTTAACGTTATATTGATTTATCGTGTTTTTAATTATTTTTTATCTTGTTTGCTAACACCACTACGCTCTTTTGTATTTTGTTGAGACCGCTCAGATAACACACTGGCGTTATTTACCTTTGTTTTGACTGTGACACACATAGCTTTATATCCTATTAATAGTACATCACTGGATGTGTTTGTGTGTGTTGTGACAAACTTGATAGTATTCAGTGAAAAGCTGCCAGAGCTCATGTGAGCAGTGCTGGAGAGTGGTGTGTGGTTTCAGATGAAATATTTAGGGATTAGTGAAGTTGGCCTTGGTTTGAATTTCTCTTTGTTTTTCAACACTGTTATTGGTCTATAATAAAGTCTGATCAGAGGGGTAGTCTCATAGCTAAAAGCCTTAAATGCAAAGTTGTCTTTTTGTTAATGTAAATCTACTTTAAGTTCCCCAAAACTTGTTTTCAGGTTGAGGTGTAACTTTACTCTTCAGCAAACAAAGTGTATCTGCTCCATTTGGTAATTAAGAATCATTTTGATTTTTTCTTTCCTACCTAAATAATTCAAAGTGTGTTGGGAACTGGTGATAACTGACCTAACAAAGCAGGGTGCAGAACAAAAGCTGGTTCCTTCACCTGGCCAGTTTCAATAGAAAACACTTCAAACAAGGGTTGCGGCCTAAAATTGTTTTCATAATTAGTCTTTTGGTTACTTCTTAAGTGAATAACAGGTCACCAGCGACCAAAGTGGTTTGTTGGAATGACATGCTTACTCCGACAGGGCTGAGTCACATGGACAAAATCACGATATCAGGATTTTTTTATTTTTTTTTTATATACTTTATTAATCCCCGAGGGGAAATTCATTTTTTTTTTCACTCTGTTTGTCAATTACACACAGGTCCGAACACACACGCACAAACTGGACCTATACATGCACTAAGTGGAAAGATGTCAGAGTGGGCTGCCCATGACAGGCGCTCCGAGCGGTTGGGGGGGTCGGTGCCTTGCTCAGGGGCACCTCGGCAGTGCCCAGGAGGTGAACTGGCACCTCTCCAGCTACCAGTCCACGCTCCATATTTTGGTCCGGACGGGGACTTGAACAGGCAACCCTCCGGTTCCCAACCCAAGTCCCTATGGACTGAGCCACTGCCGCCCATTTTGAGTTAAATACTTGAGTTGTTCCCATATAATTCATTTCTGAGACTCCTGAACTTGCACATTGGTGGATACCAAGCACCTATTGGTACCACTGCATTAAAAAAAAAAAACAACTTAAATACTACCAACCATGTATGGATGAGAAATGATCGCTGTCATTGCTGAATTTCATGGCTCAGGTTAAACCCTTTGTGAGCCACGAACAAATACATACGGAGAATGAACCACATAGAACTGTTATGTTACTGTCTAGTGCAACATTTTGCTATTGACTAACGTTACACTTATTACTGGAAATCAATTTTTCCTTGCCACTCTCAAACAGTAGTAACCATTGGCTGATGTGAGTTTTTTAGACTAGTTGTCACTGAGTAAGACTATTGATTAAGCCTGGCAGAGTCCACACTTGGTGTAATTTGTAACTGACCTTCGCTGTGTTTCCTGACATGCTTCAGTTGGAACACAGTAATTAGTATTGACCGTAGAGGAGGATAATCAACCTGTGCATGCCTAGATTCTGCATCTAGCAGATTACTGATCTGAGCCTCTGTTTCTTTGCCAAACATGCTTATTATGCAGATAGGTGATGAACTCAGTCTCTTGTGCCCAAAGCTTGATTTTTGCCACAGAACAGTCCTGGTTCCAGTTTGGGTTTACACTTACTGCACAGATTTAGATGGGGCGAAAGGTGGTTCTTACGGGAACAAAAGGTGCAAGACCAAAAAGTCATACGGTAAACAGGGTTGGTCTTGAGAAGTGATCAACAGATGGTCAGCGGAGTCATTAAAGCGGAAACTGGGTGCTTCCTCCGCTGTCTGATGAGGGGGTGAAATAGCAACAGTGACATTCTCCCATTGAGGGTAACAAGAGACAGCTCCTCTGTATGAATACAGATGAAATCCTGAGTGTTTTTGGTATTTTGTGGGCGCAATTTGTTCCACAGAGCTTAAGTTCTGTGTCATCCTTCATGCTTATATCCTGCTGAGCCCTTGTCAAGATGTTTTTTTAGGTGTCTGTGTCATGCACTTGTGCCAAAATGGCTGAGTGGCATATGTTAAAATGTCTAACTCAAGGACTGACTTGTAAAATTGTTGGCCCGTGTTGTCCTTTTTTCTCTTAAATAACCCTTGCTGAGAATGTGTTGTTGTTGCATGCATCTAATTGCCTTATGGGCTTTACTCAGTCTCTGCCAATTTAAAATTTTGGCACTTTGCTTAGGCCTAGGGTAAAGGGACAACATCCTGTTCAGTTTCAATAAATATTTTCATCTCCAGAGCAATCAAGAGCTGTGATCTGGTTTGATGCAGTTTTGGCTGGTGTCTGAGAGGTGCCTTGGCATTATTTCTGTCATCTCTTAATCACTAGGGCTTGACGTCAATAGGAGTGGCCTAATGTGTGTAGCGATTCACTCTTCGGTAAATTGCAAGTTGCCTTGCTGCTCAAGTACAATTGACACTTCTGAGCAGGCTGGTTAGAACTTGAAAGGAAATGGTGTCGCTTGCAGGCACAGGGCAGAGGTATGTATTGTTTGTGCGCAGATTTTTCTTCTCTTATGTTTTGAGAATGAAGACAAAAATTAGGGACATATATGCTGAAGTATTTCTTTTATTGTACTGCTAGATCGCTGCTTTTTGTGGATGATCACTGTTGCTGATCTTGGTACTGTTAATGTGTTAAAAATGCAGAGGAAGTGGGTTTTGCAGGTAAGATATATAAAGGAAAACAAGCAGTCTAAACTCTCTAAGCTCTAATTGTGAGGACTAATAGTGCAGGAAACTTGCTCTTCCCTGGAGGGTAACGTCTATAAAAGGACACCATATCAGAGTGTTTTTGCAAGTGTTTCATTGTGTAGTAAGATGTTATTCCAACATTTATCTGTGTAATGATGGATCTTTTTTCATTTTCAACATTAACAATTCAAGGAAAGAAGTACGAGAACATTACCTCCAATCCATCATGTCTTGAATATATTGCACATTTGAAATCTGTCAATGTGCTGTGCAGTTGTGCGGTTCTACTTCTTGCTTTACTAATACATATGTCCAACGTGTGCCCAAATATTTCAGTATTTCATTCTTCTTTCTTTGCCTTGGGTTCATGTCACTGTCTGTTAGCAAATACTATGTATGAATGATGATAACTATGAATTAAATTATGATGCCAGATTGACATGAATAACTGTCCCAGAAAAGACATTTACAAATTAGACTTATATACTTTGGAAACTCTGAGACACAAATAGCTTTTGGGTTTGCTGTGATCTGACTGGATATGCTTTAAAAGACCAAAGACCAGCAGTGTAGATGATTTAAGTTCCAAAATACTGACTTTTGAGCAAATGCAAAATCTGCCTGTCTCCCAGGCACCCGTCTTTCCCTTTGTCACATTTTAAGTCAAGAGGAAATTAAAAATACCTTGAACCCCTTAATCTCCACAGCCACTCGGGTGCACTCGGGTTACAAATTGTAAGCATTATCCGTGATTGATTATTGGTAACATTGATGATCATTCAGTCGATTAATTGTGATTTTAAAAAAAAAATAAAAAATCAAATGCGTTTTTTCCTCAATCAAAACTCTCAGCAACATACAACATACTTAATGTTTTTTTCTAACGTTACAGCATTCAGTGGACCGCGTCTTGCTCTCTTCCTGATGGATACTACTATCCCATCTGGTGTCACTGTCAGGGCCTCACTGTTTTGGCCGTCATGACATACCCATTTTTCAGTGATCAAATCAAATTCCTCCCAACGTTATATTCCAAGTGCCTATCCTGTTTCACTCAGAAATACATCACAATACTGAAGCTAGATATTCTTGAAATGCTGTTTCCTCTGGACTTACAGGGGAAACCAAACACAGTTGCATTTGTAGTCCAACCTAAAAGAATGACAGATTTATACATGTCTACTTTTTTAATGAATCCTTTCATATTATCATGCAAAGCATAAGTCAGTTGTCCAAGGCAGTAATTTTAACACTCCAGAGTACCCATGTCAGATGAAGCTTTGTAAATGACGACACATGGAAAATCAAAGTAAGTGAAATACTTAAAGAGTTAGAGGCGGACCGCTGATTCAGACTAGCCCAACCTGATGTAGAGGCTCATTTTAAGGATGAAAAGTCTACGCACTGGCCAAATGTAATCACTTGTAGAGGTCTTTGAGTTAGATTAGCTTGCTGAATAATTTATGATGTTGGTAAATTTGAGTATGTTTGCCAGGATCAGACCTCCCAGTGGAGAAGGACAGCCAAGAGTCCCTAATGGAAGTAGTTTATTATGGTGCACTTTGAACTTAATCTTGTAAGACTTTGGTGAAAATCTTGGATGCAGCAGAGGGTATATTGTGTATGAGGATACATAAAAACCTGATTTTGCTTTGTATGTATTTAGACCAATAATCTGTTGTAGTATATGAAATGTGACAAACTCCAGCAATTCCCCAAACTGCTGTAATCGTGATTTTAAACCCAGCAGTGTTTATAACTGGTGTTTATACCCCATATACTATTTTTTTTCGTACATGACAAAATTATATTAATTCAAG